AATTGGACCTAGGATACTACCCTTACTTGGTCCTGCAGCTGAGATGACTGACCTCCAGTAACCAAACAATCTTTTCTCACGATTCCAACAACAGGGGCATATTCCCTGATTCCCATTGACATTAGTTTTTATACGACTTAGTCAAATGTGAGAACGTAACACAGTTTTAGTTTCATTTTTAAGTTCAGTAAGTGGTGCAGGGGTGTCTAGAAGGATGTTCATATGCACTTAATTGAGTATTTTATAAAAAGGTCTTGAGGTGAATAGTTCAGTGCTTTAAAAGCAAATGGTAGAAGACAGAAAAAAAATGGACTATCACATATCAGCAAGGTGCCCTATAACACAAACAAAAACAGTTTCCTTTCAGGAAGGCAGAACCATCAAAAGATCAATGAAGGTGCAAGTTTCTTTCAGAGAGAAGCAGGTCATTCAAACAGAAAAGGCTTTTACGTGCAGAAGTACAGTTTGATGTCTCCAAAATGATCAGGCCAAAAGGAAAAAGAAGTTCTTAGTGGCTTAGAAGTTAGTAAGAAATAAAGCTTTAAAATAGAACATTTAAGGTGTTATAGAGAGGATGACTGGCTGTTAAGTGTTTGTGTTTAAGGAACATGTGTTAATGAGTAACTGAGCAGAATGTTATGAAGAGACAGCAACTAAAGAAGATAGCATTGATTGAAAGTAGCAGTTTTCTGGAAAGAAACAAGGTACAGTCAAGTGAACATGAAACTTTAAAGTAGAAACATGGTGATCCTTCACTGAGGTTGGAGTATCTGTAAGCTGTTTGGTGAGGGTAAAAGCATTGAATCTTTGCTTTCAGTAGCCCTTATATAGTATAAAATTTGTGTTCCTTTAGTTATAAACTTTGATGATCTTTTGTTAAAAGTACATTGGCAGTCCCTTACGTTTTTAAAAATAATTCTTACAAGGGAAGTGGGTACTACTGGCAAGGCTGGTATGTACTGCCCCTTTTCCAAATGCCCTTGAACAGATTGGCTTTCTGGGTAATTTTGGAAGCAGTTAAGAATCGACAACATTCATGTGGATCTAGAGACATACCTGGGCCAGACTAGGTAAGGATGGTAAGTATCCTTACTGGCAACTTGAATACAATGGGGAAACAGGTCATATCCTACACATTAGATTCCAGAAACAACAAATCTGTTTAAAATATAGTGAATAGGAAATGTCAGTTACTGTAAAACACATATAACTTATTAACCAGCATACTTAACGCTCCAAATCTAGACTTGTCTCATCCATCATGCACTGGCAGGAAAAAGGTGTCAACAGTGCAATGCAGATCTTTCATCATCACATCATCCCAAAATTGGTAGCCTTCTCATCAATGACATCTGGCTGTCCTTAATGATCCAATCTCGACTGCTGACAAATCAGCAGCAGGAATGTTAATAGGTACCAATATATTACAAAGACTATAGACTAAAGAATGAGCAGTCTGAACCAGCCCACATTCCTAGTTTCTGTAATATACAACTACCTTTCATCTGTTCCAGTCAATCCTCCAGAGGCCGAGAAGAACATGTTGCCTGAAATGTCAAGGTTTACCAGTTCCTATGAGGAACTCTTTTAAGACAACAGGTATTCTCTTTTCAGGGTAAAAGGATAAAAATGGTCTTACTCAAATTGGCTTGTCAACACCTTACAAAATGTAGGCTGCAAGTCACATCTGCATGTAGGTTTGCCTTATCAGTCAATGTGATACATGAAGCAATGCAGACAAAGCCACTGTCTTGGGAATGCCTTTCACAGAAATGTCACTCAGGCATGATTGATTAATGTACAATCTTCACAGGCAGTACACAGAGCAAGACTCAGCCTCCAAATCATACATTTTACACTAATCTTCAAGTTGTGAACATCTGTAAGAAATATAATGAGAATAATTTAATATAAATCAGATCAATGAAGAAATACTGACCTTGCAATGTGCCGATGAGCGACTGCCTTGGTCAGACTGCTGGGCACATAGATACCACTGCTATCGAAATCACCTTCCAACCTGACTGTTAAGGAAGAAGACCAAAGAAAATGTCAGACTCCTTTATCCTATTTTTTGTTTCATAATTTATAGTTCTTAAATACAAAACTATAACTGAATAATCAATCCTTCAGCTATTATATTTTCTTTTCCACAACTGAATATGCTAGGTAATGCGAACGTAGTTGGCTTGTATTTCCTCAAACACTAAATGCTACTTGTCTCAATTAGGCTGTATAAGGCTGATTATGAATTTTACACATGCTGATAATATCACCAATCCTGAGTACAAGACCAGAGTTTTCCAAACTCTACTCTCAAATCTGCTTCTTCTCTGTACAGAAAAATGACTGTGGAAGGCATAAAGAATTCAACAAAACCTTCTGGTGGATGTAGACAAGTTACACTACCAAAGTTAGATGCACATCTGCTGTGCAGAGAATATTCAGCTAATTCAGTATTTACAATGGTGACCAACAAGGCTGTATTTGTTAACATTGAAAATTTAACTTGATTGATTAGGAAGTACTATACAAAATGGAAAAAGATAATTGTTGGATGGAATGTGCTCCTTTTAACTGATCTGAACTGCAGAATCAGAAAAATGTCGAAAAAGCAACCAGTCAGTCAACATGAAAGATCCTTCCTTGGTGTTATTATGATTACTTGTACTTTCTAGGGTTCCATCCTAGCTTCCTTTGTTTTTCAGATTCATGCAACTTCTTAAAAATTACATCCACAAGTAGCTTCCACATGAATTCATATATTGCCCAAATAATCTGCCACTGCCCTTGCTAATGCCTTTGCAATGCCAATATTTTCTGCTTTATGATTGCAAATGTTTCTTTGCTCTTCTTTATTCTCTTCTGAGACTGATTTTTTATTTATTTAGAGATGAAAAATCACAGATACAGCTATCAAGAAAGAAAGAAAACAAGAATCTACATGCCATTTCGGACCAAAGCTAACTGAATGAAAATAATGGCTTCCAAACTGTCAATTTTAAATCATTTGGTTCAGTTCTAGCCTTGGAGCAACTGAGTAATTTGCAATCCTGCTTTACACAAATGCGTCTGTTTTGTATATGCCTATTCTTTCCTTTTCCAAATGCCCTGCTTGCCACATACAACTCTGTACTATCATAGTGTCATAGAAGTCTACTGCACAGAAAAAGGCCCTTCAGCACATCAAATCTGCACTGTTCAAAAAACATCTAAATAATCTAATCCTATTTTCCAGCACTTGACCCATAACCTTGTATGCCTTGGTATTGCAACTGCACTTCTAAATACATTTTATATATTAGGAGGATTTCTGCATCTTCCCTTACGGGGAATGAGTTCCAGTACACTCAGTGAAAAATGGTTTCTTCAAATCCCCCATGAACCCCCTGCTCTTTACGTTAAATCTATGTCCGCTAGTCATTGATCCTTCCTCCAAAGGAAAAGTTTCTTCCTGTATACCCTGTCTGTGCCCCTCAGTTTTGTTTGTTTATTTGGCTCATAGTTTGTAAGGTTTACAGGATAAATTGAAGTCCAGGATTGCAGGCCCAGCAGAAAAGAAGGAATGCCATCACACGAAAATCATAACTTCATTGGTTGGTAGTAGCTACCAATCTGACATTTTACATTTGGCATTTTCCCTATTTTTGGTTATTTTCGGATTGAAGGTAAATGGGGGAAATATTTCCAGACTACAAACTAAAAAACCAAAGGAAATTTTTAAAATTTAAATTAGGAACTAAGATTTGCCCAGGCTTAGCTTTATCCATTCGTTCTCTATCTCTAGGCTCCATCTCCTCCCTCCTCCCCATCTTCCACATATATATCAACCTATTCCTAGCTACAAGCAGTTCTGAAGAAGGGTCACTGCACCCAAAAACATCTGCCTTCTCTCCAGAGATGCTGCCAAACCTACCGAGTTTTTCCAGCAATTTCTGTTTTTGTTTCATCACAGGTAGCCAGGGAGGTAAAGGAGGAACAAAAACAGAAGTTGCTGGAAAAGCTCAGCAGGTCTGGCAGCATCTGTGAAGGAAAAACCAGAGTTAACGTTTCGGGTCCAGTGACGCTTCCTCAGAAAGGAGGAGTTTGGCTTGCCTGCATTACTTACACCATCGAGTTTAGGAGTTGGGATATCATGTTGTGGTTGTGCAGGATGTTGGATGTTGTGTACAGTTCTGGTCACCCTGCTATAGGGAAGACATTATTAAATTGGAGCGGGTGCAGAAAGATTTACAAGGATTTTACCGGGACTGCAGGGTTTGAGTTATAAGGAGAGGCTGGATAAGCTGGGACATTTTTCACTGGAGCGTAGGAGGTTGAGGGGTTATAGAGGTTTATCAAATCATGAGGGACATAGATAAGATGAATAGCAGCTCTTCCCTAGAGTTGGGAAGTTCAAAACCAGAGCCCATAATTTTAAGGTGAAAGGAGAAAGATTTAAAAGGGATCTGAAAGGCAATTTATCACACAGAAGGTGGATCATATGTGGAATGAACTGCCAGGGGAAGTTTTTGATGCAGGCACAGTTACAACATGTGAAAGACAATTGGACAGGTACATGAAGAGGAAAGGTTTAGAGGGATATGGCCCAAACACAGGCAAATGGGTCTAGTTTAGGTTGAGAAACATGGATCAGCATGGATCAAAAGGTCTGTTTCCTTGCTGTATAACTCTACTTGCATTTTTTTGGATTTTTTTTTTAAAAAACACCCTGATGGGAGTTGTGTACAGGCCTCCTAGCAGTAATCAGGATGTGGGGAAGAAAATAAATCAGGATATTGAAAAGGCATGTAAAAAGAAACTATTACAATAATCTTGGGGTCTTCAATATGCAAGTAGGCTAGGAAAATCAAGTTGGTAACAGATCTCAAGAAAAGGAATTTGTGCAATGTCTACGAGATGTTTTTAAGAAGGGAGGGAGGCAGAAGACAGGAATTTATTGGCCGGTTAGCCTGACCTCAGTCATCGGTAAGATTTTAGAGGCAACTATTAACGATGAGATTGCAGAGTACTTGGAAGCCCATGGTAAAATAGGGCTGAGTCAGCACAGCTTCATCAAGAGGTGGTCATGCCTAGTAAATCTGTTACAATTCTTTGAGGAGGTAGCAAGCAAATTAGACAAAGGAGAACCAGTGATGTGATAAATTTGGATTTCCAGGAGGTCTTTGACAAGGTGCCGTAAAGGAGACTGCTAAATAACATAAGTGTGCATGGTGTTTGAGGCAAGGTATAGCATGGATAAGGCAGCAGTTTATTGACAGAAGGCAGAGAATGGGGTTAAAGGAATCTTGTTCAGGACGACAGCCATTGACTAGTGGACTTCTGTAAGAGGTTCGTGTTCAGACTCCAACTATTCACATTATACATTAACAATCTGGAATTGACGGAATTGTTGCTAAGTTTGCAGTTAACACAAAGATAGGTGGAGGGACAGATAGTGTTGTGGAAGTGGGGAGGCTGCAGAAGGACTTGGACATGCTAGGAGAGTGGGCAAAGAAGTGGAAGATGAAACATAATGTGGGAAATGTGTGATGTTATGCACTTCGGTAGGAAGAACAGAGATGGATTTATGGACTATTATTTAAATGGTAAAAGGCTTCAGGAATCTAAATCACCAAGGGACTTAGGAGTCTAAGCTCAAGATTCTCTTAAGGTTAACATGCAAGTTCAGTAGGTAGTTAGGAAGGGAAATTCAATGACAGCAATCATTTCAAGAGGGCTAGAACACAAGAGCAGAAATATACTTCTGAGGCTGTATTAGGCTCTAGTCAGACCGTATCGGAAATATTGGGAGCAGTTTTAACCCTAACCCTATCCCATCTGAGGAAAGATGTGCTTCCAACAGGGTCTAGAGGAGGTTTAAGAATGATCCCAGGATTGAAGGGCTTGTCATATGAGGAATGGTTGAGGACTGTGAAGTGTGCTTATTGGAGTTTAGAAGGATGAAGGGGGTCTCAGTGAAACTTACAGAATACTGACAGGCCTGGATAGAGTGAACATGAAGATGTTTCCATTTTTGGAAGAGACTAGAATAAGAGGACACAGCCTCAGAGTGAAGGGATGACCCTTTACAACTGAGCCGAGGAGGAATTTCTTCAGCCAGTGGGTGATGGAATGGTGGAACTCATTGCTGCAGAAGGCTGTGGAGACCAAGTCACTGAGTGTATTTATGACAGAGATAGATATGTTCTTGATTACTAATGGGATATAGGGTTACATAGAGAAGGCAGAAGAATGGGTTTGAGAAACATAACAATTGTGGCCTAATCAGCTTTTCAGACATTTCCAGCATAATCTGACTGGCTCTTTAACTCTGTGCCTCAGCTAATAAAGTAAGTATCCCATATGTCTTCTTAACCACTTTATCTACTTGTCGTGCTAAGGGACTGGTGGGATCAACCTTTCTACATCAAAGTCTAAATTATTTATATATCACAAAAAGCAAGGGCACCAACATGGATTCCAGTGAAACCTCAGTGGACCCAGGCTACCAGTCACACAAAAAAAGCATCCCTCAACCATCACCCTCTGCTTCCTGCCACTCAGCCAATTTTGGACTCAGGAAGCAAAATTTCCTTGGATCCCTTGGGCTCTTACCTTCACTGTCAGTATCCAATATGCAACATTACCAAAAGCCATGCTGAAGCCCCAGCAGACTATGTAGAGTGCCTTGCTCTCATCTAAACACATGGTCAACTCTTCGAAGAATTGAATTAAGTTGGTCAGACATGACCTCCCCTCAACAAAACGATGCTGATTGTTCCTGATTAATCCTGCCTCACCAGGGGCAGATTAGTTCTGTCCCTCAGAATTGCATCCAATAGTTTCCCACCAATGAGGTTAGACTGACTGGCCTGTAGTTTCCTGGTTTATCCCTTATTCCCTTCTTAAATAATGGTAACACATTGGCTGTCCTCCAGTACTTCAGAACCCCTCTGTGGCCAGAGAGGAATTGAAAATTATTACCAGTGTCCCTACTATTTCCTCCCGTGCCTCCCTCAACAGCCTGGGATACATTTCATCC